CTCTTTGGAACCCCCCTTCCGGTAGTTGAAGGCTGCTATCAAATCCCCCCTCACTCTTCTGCAGACTAAATAACCCAAGTTCCCTCAGCCTCTCCTCGTAAGTCATGTGCCCCAGCCCCCTAATCATTTTCGTTGCCCTCCGCTGGACTCTCTCCAATTTTTCCACTTCCCTTCTGTAGTGGGGGGACCAAAACTGGACACAATATTCCAGGTATGGCCTCACCAGTGCCGAAGAGAGGGGAATAATCACTTCCCTCGATCTGCTGGCAAATGTTCCTATTAATACAGCCCAATATGCCATTAGCCTTCTTGGCAACAAGGGCACACCGCTGACTCATATCCAGTTTCTCATCCACTGTAATCCCCAGGTCCTTTTCTGCAGAACTGCTGCTTAGCCAGTCGGTCCCCAGCCTGTAGCCTGGGATTCTTCCGTCCTAAGTGCAAGACTCTGCACTTGTCCTTGTTGAACCTCATCAGATTTCTTTTGGCCCAATCCTCCAATTTGTCTAGGTCACTCTGGACCCTATCTCTACCCTTTAGGATATCTACCTCTTCTGCCAGGTTAGTGTCATCTGTGAACTTGCTGAGGGTGCAATTCATCCCATCATCCAGATCATTAATAAAGATGTTGAACAAAACTGGCCCCAGGACCGACCCCTGGGACACTCCACTTGATACCGGCTGCCGATTAGACATCGAGCCGTTGATGACTACCTGTTGAGCCCGACAATCTAGCCAGCTTTCTATCTACCTTACAGTCCATTCATCCAATCCATACTTCTTTAACTTGCTGCCAAGAATATTGTGGGAGATCGTATCAAAAGCTTTGCTAAAGTCAAGATATGTTACATCCACGGCTTTCCCCATATCCACACAGGGAGTTATCTCATCATAGAAGGCAATCAGGTTGGTCAGGCATGACTTGCCCTTGGTGATTCCAGGTTGACTGTTCTTGATCACCTTCACTAACAAGGTCAGCTCCCAGACTGCTGCGCTGGGCATCACAACATGGGGAATAGAGGGCCAGCCCTCTGTGGAGAAAGAGGTGGTTAGGGACTATTTAGAAAAACTGGACGTGCACAAGTCCATGGGGCCTCAGAGTTGCATCCGAGAGTGCTAAAGGAATTGGCGGCTGTGATTGCAAAGCCATTGGCCATTATCTTTGAAAACTCGTGGCGAACGGGGGAAGTCCTGGATGACTGGAAAAAGGCTAATGTAGTGCCCATCTTTAAAAAAGGGAAGAAGGAGGATCCAGGGAACTACAGGCCAGTCAGCCTCACCTCAGTCCCTGGAAAAATCATGGAGCAGGTCCTCAAAGAATCAATCCTGAAGCACTTACATGAGAGGAAAGTGATCAGGAACAGTCAGCATGGATTCACCAAGGGAAGGTCATGCCTGACTAATCTAATCGCCTTCTATGATGAGATTACTGGTTCTGTGGATGAAGGGAAAGCAGTAAATGTATTGTTTCTTGACTTTAGCAAAGCTTTTGACACGGTCTCCCACAGTATTCTTGTCAGCAAGTTAAAGAAGTATGGGCTGGATGAATGCACTATAAGGTGGGTAGAAAGTTGGCTAGATTGTCGGGCTCAACGGGTAGTGATCAATGGCTCCATGTCTAGTTGGCAGCCGGTGTCAAGTGGAGTGCCCCAGGGGTCGGTCCTGGGGCCGGTTTTGTTCAATATCTTCATAAATGATCTGGAGGATGGTGTGGATTGCACTCTCAGCAAATTTGCGGATGATACTAAACTGGGAGGAGTGGTAGATACGCTGGAGGGCAGGGATAGGATACAGAAGGACCTAGACAAATTGGAGGATTGGGCCAAAAGAAATCTGATGAGGTTCAATAAGGATAAGTGCAGGGTCCTGCACTTAGGACGGAAGAACCCAATGCACAGCTATACACTAGGGACCGAATGGCTAGGCAGCAGTTCTGCGAAAAAGGAACTAGGGGTGACAGTGGATGAGAAGCTGGATATGAGTCAGCAGTGTGCCCTTGTTGCCAAGAAGGCCAATGGCATTTTGGGATGTATAAGTAGGGGCATAGCGAGCAGAACGAGGGACGTGATCGTCCCCCTCTATTCAACATTGGTGAGGCCTCATCTGGAGTACTGTGTCCAGTTTTGGGCCCCACACTACAAGAAGGATGTGGATAAATTGGAAAGAGTCCAGCGAAGGGCAACAAAAATGATTAGGGGTCTGGAACACATGACTTATGAGGAGAGGCTGAGGGAACTGGGATTGTTTAGTCTGCAGAAGAGAAGAATGAGGGGGGATTTGATAGCTGCTTTCAACTACCTGAGAGGTGGTTCCAGAGAGGATGGTTCTAGACTATTCTCAGTGGTAGAAGAGGACAGGACAAGGAGTAATGGTCTCAAGTTGCAGTGGGGGAGGTTTAGGTTGGATATTAGGAAAAACTTTTTCACTAGGAGGGTGGTGAAACACTAGAATGCGTTACCTAGGGAGGTGGTAGAATCTCCTTCCTTAGAAGTTTTTAAGGTCAGGCTTGACAAAGCCCTGGCTGGGATGATTTAACTGGGGATTGGTCCTGCTTTTGAGCAGGGGGTTGGACTAGATGACCTCCTGAGGTCCCTTCCAACCCTGATATTCTATGATTCTATGATTCAAGTGCTTCAAAATGGATTCCTTGAGGACCTGCTCCATGATTACTTGATAAGGGCAGGTTTCAGAGTAACAGCCGTGTTAGTCTGTATTCGCAAAAAGAAAAGGAGTACTTGTGGCACCTTAGAGACTAACCAATTTATTTGAGCATGAGCTTTCGTGACAGCTCACGAAAGCTCATGCTCAAATAAATTGGTTAGTCTCTAAGGTGCCACAAGTACTCCTTTTCTTTTTGATAAGGGCAATCTCTATAACTACTGTCCCATCTTGAATCCCTAATATCTGTGGGAAATTATCAAGAATGTTGTGGAAAAACAATTTAATACTGCTCCCTTCAGCACTATCGACCAGGAGGTGCAGACAACACATTTGCAGACCCTAGCAGGGACTGGCAAGTTTGCACTTGAATGGCTCTGCTCTGTCTTTCTGTAAACTAGATTGATGATACTCAACCTAGACAAGACTAAAGTGAATTTTACACAATGAGGGAATTAAGCAGAGGAATCAGTGGAAATTATACCAGCTTTCCAGATTGCTAGGAAGAGTCCATGGCTTGTTTCTCATATTCATAACTTATGGATTTTGCTGGGTTCCTGGCAGCTGCTGGAGTCACAGGTATCAACAATTGTTAAGTGTGCCTATCATGTGTATTTGGGAAGGAGGTTATGTTTTCTTCTTTTGGGTGCAGTTTCACCATATTATCTACACCTTTGTCACTACAAAGGTAGATTATAGTAATGGGGCTATCCTTTCCAATTGTTTGGAAACTGCAACTAGCATAGAAATGGGCAGCCTACTTGTTTAATGTCTGCTCAAGCAAAGACCACACTATGCTGTGTCCTGAGATCTGTTCTGGCTACTGAGACTGTTTCCCAAGTGAAGTTTAAGGCATTAGTTTTCATCTTTAGAGCCTTAAATAGTTTGGGGTCAGCTGTTTGCAAGACTATGTCTCTCCTTGTGTATCACAATGATAGCTGAGGTCATCTGAGGCACTCATGCCAACAGATTCCTCCTCATAAATGGAGAGGGCTGACAGCAAGTCATTCTAGATCAAGAAAGGAAGTGAAATCCAAAGCCATCTTCATGTCCCAGAGCCTGGATTTGATACCTCACAGGGGAGTTGTGAGGATAAACACATTGAAGATCGTGAGGTGCTCATATACTACGGTGATGAGGGCCATATAAATACAACAGACAGAAGGATCGACCAACCTACTTTCAGGACACGCTGCAAGATCCACCTATTTTTCCAGGTGATTCTGGTAGGAAGGGGGAGATGGGAAGGGACATGACTGCAGGATAGCTAGGAGGTTGATTGAAGAACTAAAGGAGACTAGGCTGGGGACAAGAATACACACTATTTTGGGATGGGGACCTGGGTTTTTTGTGTGTAGTTAGCATGTGTGTGATGTGTGTGTTGCTGTTTTACTTGTTAAGATGTAGGGGCCCTTTTTGTGTCCTGTTTTGCAGCTATACCAAAATTGGGTATTACTGTAAAAAAATAAAATAAAAATAAAAATGTGGTGTGAGTAGAGTTTAGAGAGGTGCAGAGGAAATATAGAGAAGAAAGAGCCTATTCCTCAAACACAACACAATGACCACTAACCTCAGCACCTGCAGAACAAAAGGCCAGACTCACTTGGCACAGCCTTCTCATAATAAATCAATAACTTCTGTGAACGGACAGAAAAATTATACAGTAAAACCTGCTTTAGAGACCACCTCTGAAGAGAGACCACCTGTCACAAGCAACTACTTGCAGAGGCCATGGAACACCACCGCTCGCCAGTGTGCAAACCTTTGAAGAGAGACCACCTCTTACAAGCAACCACTTTTGCTAACTCCCATGAGTGGTTGCTCTTGGCAGGTTTTACTGTATATAAAAGACAATAGGAAAGCACTCAAATACCACAGTGATAAGCACAGGATAGGTTAGATCAGTGGTTTTCAACTTTTTCATTTGAGGACCCCTACAAAATTATCAAGGTGTGGACCTCTTTGGAAATCTTAGACATAGACTGAGGACCCCTAGGGTCTGCAGACCATTGGATGAAAACCACTGGGTTAGATGGATAGAAAAAAATACCTTATTAGAAAACAAAGTTAATTTATATACATTGCACCATTTTCTATAGAAAATCTATTTATCTGACACTTACTGGAATAATTGTATTTGAATGTTCCATTTTTTTTTTTTTAACATTCCATATTCAAAGAAGTCAGCATTGCTATCAATAGTACATCTTATTTCATACCTGACTTTTTATGTTCTTAGTTCTGTGAGAATTTTCAAATCTGTCTTAAAGTATTACATTTCAGATGGCACTGTAAACCAGAAGAATATTAATATTAATATTAAAATCTTTTACAAAACATACCACTTCTTCATCTGAAAGCTCTCGTCCTTGGATGCTGCTATTTTCTCTCACTGCTTGTTGGTGTTTTTTCCCCTTAATGTGGCTAAAAAGATACACCTCTGAGGAAATCTGAAATGAGAATAAATGACGATTAGGGCCCTACCAAGTTCATGGTCCATTTTCGTAAATTTTATGGTCATAGCATTTTAAAAATCTTGAATTTCACAGTTTCAGATATTTAAATCTTAAATTTCATGGTATTGTAACAAAACATGAACATGTATTTAAAAAATGGCAAAATATAAACATGTAAAAGCCCTTAAGACAGAGGTTCTCAAACTGTGGTCCACGGACACCAGTGGTCCGCGAGCTCCATTCAGGTAGTCTGTGGATAGTTCTAAGGTGCGCACGTGGACAGCTGCACACAAGAGAATGAAGGGCCACCCACCTAATTAGAATTCCACCATTTTATGGTTTTGGTGTTATCATGCCAATAGTTTCCAACCCACGGCACTGTTCTAGTGGAGACTGGCATAGTGGAGGACCCCAAGTTGTTTATTCTTGCTCAAAGCAAGTTTATTCTAAAAATGGTGTAAATGGCTGTATACCATTTGGAATAATTCCGTGTTTGGACATGAGGTATGATACAGATGTTCTAGGCACAGCACAAGAGGGTGACAACACCAACTTTGTCTGGTGCAGATGAAGCCTAGAAATACAGACTGGAATTCAGCTAATAAGCTAAGAGCAATGCTCATGTTTAGCCCACATGAATCACGGATATTGCACTCTACTAAGCAGTAGCAAGATCCGAGGTACTGGTAGTAAGAGCTACATGTCTCTCTGTGATATGTAAACCAATCCAGGGCATTCAGCCACTGAACTATCTCTGTGCTTACAGTGTTGTTGTAGCCAGCAATGTAGTCGGTCTCAGGATATTAGAGAGACAAGGTGGGTGAAGTAATATCTTTTATTGGACCAATTTCTTTTGGTGAAAGAGACATGCTTTTGAGCTACACAGAGCTCTTGACCTGAAGAAGAGCTCTGTGTAGCTTGAAACAGTGTCTTTTTCACCAACAGAAGTTGGTCCAATAAAATATATTACCTCAACCACCTTGTCTCTGGGTTATAGTCCACAGAAACTATGCAAGCCTCCCTGGTAACATGCATGCAGAGACTACTCCATAGCCAAGTGTACAGTCATGAACACCCGTTTACTCTGTCAGAAAGAAGGGTTCTTGTAAATGTCAATACCATACCTCTTAATCTTCAAGCTTGCCAATGAATGACACAAGCAAGCAATATTGGCAAATGATTAAAATATGGAACATTTATGTTTTATTTTATGTTGTACGATAATTAACATATTATAACTGTTTTAACTATAAAACCTGTTTTAAGGGTATTTTCTCACTGCATGAATAAACCAGTTTTAAACAAAAACCTGGGAAAACAAATTCCATCGTATGCAATGAGAAGGAAGACCTATTTGGATTGTCAGCAAGGTTTGAACTCTGGACCATGAAATCTCCAGCATGGACCTCTACCCCTTGAACTGTTATCCTCTATTTGGATCTACCAGTAGAGAAGGAATTGATATACATTTTGCCAGCAAGTTGCACAATTATCTCTTAGACAACAGCAAAATGATGGAGATCAAGAATCTTGGTTTCTATTCAGGTTCTGGGAAGGGAGTGTGGTATGGTGGCTAGAATAGTGGTTATTTAGAGACAGGATAGCTGAGCACATAGATCTGGCACATTCATTCTGACAGGCAGTGTGGCTGAGTGGACAAGACTTAGGTCTACGATATGATAAAAACTAGGTTTTTATTCTCAGCTCTCCTTGAAGTGACCTTGTGAAATCTTTCAGTGAACTTATTTATAAAATGAAGAAATGATGCTTGACTGACTTCTTGGGTAGGTTATGAAGCCCTTGCTCAATTATAAGGAGTCTACAGTAGACAGAAAAAAACAGCAATCAGTACAAGGGAGGCGAGACCTCCTAGCTCCAGCTCAGTGAACGGTGCCCTAGGCTACTTGATTCTCTCTCCCTGTTTCTGGACCATTGCTTGTCTTGTCAGTGCAACGGAACAGCAACCTAATGCAACTTCAATGCCGAAGATCCCACAAAATCTGCTACAGTTCAGAGATCTGATCATTACTTTGTCTGTTCACAAAAGCGAGGAAGCAGGGGGAGAATGGTGGGGCAGTACTCCATTTACAATACATTCATGCCTGCAAACCACAACAAAACTGGTAGATCGAAAGCTTAGCTAGGCCCATTACTTTTGATAGCATTCCTTCAATGCAACTTACCAAGACACTGCATAATGAACACTGCTTTTTTCGTTCATATGGTGTAAGTTTAGGTGCATAATCAGTATTAGCATGTCTGCCACTGCTTAATTCAGCTGCCTTTTCTTTCCTCTGTTCAATTTGTTCCATGTGTCTCCGAATGCTTTCGTCATGCTAAATAAAACAACAAATGGTAAACAACATGAAATAAAAATAAACAGAAATGAATAATGTTCAGAAATACCAAGGTTTATTAAGTACTGTCTAGTTCTAGATGATGAAAAGTTAAGTTGAAACTTATGTATAATACCTTCCAAAATGCCAAAAAGGATGTGTTATTACTTAGTGATATAATTTAAAATATTAACACTATACTGTTATTTATGTAGACTAGTATCACTCCATCATCTTTGGTAAATCTAGTCCTATGGTTTTCTGTTGCATTTAGTTTCTGAGCTCATGTTGTATTTCTTCCTCAGGAAGAATTCCGAGACAGAATCCATACAGACATTACTGGTGTAATCATGCTTGCTCTGATGAACTGAAAGCAAAATGGCATCAGTTACAATGGTATAAATGATTTATTATTAATATTTAGATTGCAATAGGGATTACAGTCTCTAGACCCTTTCAAACAATGCTTTGTTTATCAACCACAACAAGGATGGCCCAAACCCTATATATTACCCAATACTAGAAATTGGCTTATAAGCATCAACTGTATGACAAACAATGACATTTCACAATAGGAGCACGTGTAGCAAAAGTGCTTCTTAATTAGTGGGATCAACAGTAGACAATTACTTAGAGATGAAAGAACAGTCTGTTTTTTAAAATTATACGATTGTATAGACCTACCGCAATGGGCCCCAGATCCTGGTGGAGACTAGTAGGTACTCCTATCATGCTATTACTACTACTAATATTCTGTGACTTTGATAAAGGTTTTATTTTCTCATTTCACCAGAAATTCAAAAACAGCACTTAGTACTTTGGAAATCTCTATGCCTCTCAAAATAGAATAGATATATGTTCAAACTTCTTATCATTTGGTCTTTGGTCCTTTATAAGGTAGGAGTTTCACAAGCTGTTTTGCCATACTGCAGCATCCTACCTAACATTCCCAATCCTACAACTGATTCCACATGACTGGAGGAACCCTGTGTTTCTGCAGAGACCCAGTGAAATTGACAGGCATCTGAGTGGATCCAGTTGCAAGACTGGGACCATATTCTATGCAGTGAAGAGGAAGGAACATGCCATACTTCCATTACTGATACTTGTGAAGACCCATAAAATGGCATCATTTCCCAGGTCCTCTTCTGTGTAACTCTGGTGTGTAGACTGTTTTCACCAAACTGTACATTTCAGTTTTAATTTTTTTTTTACCAAGACGTTTATTTTTGCCAGAATTTCATTTTAATAGTAAGATTAGAAATTCAAAATTATTTTGACTTTCTTCAAAAGTACAAAATCATTTAGACCTAACTTTGATCCCACACTAGGTTTACCCTAATGTAATTCCATTGACTTCTATGGTATTATTTCTGATTTACAGTGTCAGTGAGAGCAAAATCAGACCCATCTTCATAAGCCAGATGTCTAGATAAAAATCCTGAACTACAGTAGCAAAATTCAAGGTATGATATGGCTCTACTGTAATGACTTTGCTAAATAAAATGTACTTAAAGAAAATAACGTTGTGGAAATTCTGTTTTAAATAAAATGTATTTTCAGTTAGAAAGACTATTACTCCCTTTATACCTTCAGCTGAATCTTTTTCTGTAGCTCCTCCATTGCTTCTTGTTGAGCTGCAGTGAGAGCTGCCAGCCTCTCCTCTCGATCTCTACCAAGAGAGAATATGTATTACAGCAAAAGTGGTAAAGGTATGAAGTATACATTTATAGTTGTAATATATATTTGAAATGGGGAAAGAAAATCAGAGAAGGCATTAACTGCCATTTAAGTTAAAGGTAGCTCAGGAGGGAGATAAAAGTAGTTCAGCAGAAACTAGATTAATTACTGAAGATAATAGATGCATTTAATCTTGATGGTCTCATAACAGCAGACACCTGAGACCTTGTTCCAGATTCCAGACCCACTCCAGTGTAGTTCAGAGCAGGTATAGATGACATGGTGGTAAAAAACACTAATGAATGTGATGTCCTGTCTACATTAGCACTTCCACTGTTGCTACCTCTTGTGAAGCAACAACAGGGAGTAAAACATTGGGACTTTCCCCAAAACGTCTAGTGCAGACAAGGCCAATCACAGAGTCACACAACAGTTGGGGAAAATGCTTGAGACAGAAAATGATGATGGCTAAAGGTCTGATCACAGCAGCTTTCTGAAGTTCTACAAATTAAGCTTTACTGCTGTTTTTGCTGTTTCATATATGCTCTTGATCAAAGCAATAAGAAATATGTGCATATTGTAAATAAAGGAATTTACAAGACAATTGCTAGCCAGAGGACCGAACTTACTAGCCATATATTGACATGCAAGATGCATGAAAGACCCACAAGCAAGTCCCATGTGCAAAGCCCTGGTGAACCCACCTTCCGCACTGAGAAGAAATAAAAGGCGCTGTCTCTAAATCCTACTAGGTGGCCCCATCTTTAGTCTCAGGCTCGTGAGTGTTTATGCATTTGAAGTCACCTTTGCTTCCATCTGGCTGCAAGAAGGCGATGCTTACTGATGCGAGGGAGAGAAAGGTTTCTTACATCTCCCCCGCTTTTTTTCTTTTAGTCCTGCAGCCCCATGAATATTCAAGTGTTTTTCTCTGGTGCTGATGATTGTAAAAACTGTAAAAGTGACATGATTCTCAACAGTTTCACTGCTCCCTGCAGGGTTCTGAATAGTTCAGAGAAATTTTCCAGTCTTAAGTTCAATCTGCCACTGCTTCTGCAGAAAGCCAAGAGCAGAGCACAGGCACTTGAACTAACAATCAAGAAGACAGTGCCTCATCAGTTCATATTTGGAAAATTATCTTTGAAACCGTAAGTATTAGAAACTTTGTTCTTTTAGAACAAAGCTTAAATTCTGCAGAAATTAATTATTACGGTCACACATTCAGCAGGGCAAGTTTCCCACTTGCCAATAGCAAGTGAGAAAATGGAATTTTCAAACCTTAATTATAAATTAGAATACAGTTGGCTGCTGTTAATGTTTGTATAAAGATAAGCAGCCTGGGTAGGGGCCAAAAGAGGTCATTGAAGCACAACGCATGCAGTTTTGGCTATGCTCAGCAATGAAGAAGGCACTTACATCAATTATGCATCTAATACATTGATACACACAATACCAAACCTTTGGAATCAATTCTAGTAACTGCTTATTTCATGTACTTGAACCAAGGACCTAGGCGCACCTACAGCTAACTGAGGGATGCTACACAGAACAGAAATAAAACAAAGGTCCAAGGATGTCCAAACTGGGTTGAAGGGAATATGTTGCACACAAAGAGGTGAGCATTTGGTTTTGTGGACATATCCCCTTTCTTATAGGTTGAACCCATAAAAAAGTCAAAGCTCACCCTTGCCCTACTGAGTAGCAGAACAAAGTGAAATGCTCTAGAGATGGTGTAGAGAGACAAGGTGGGTGAGGTGATATCTTTTATTTGACCAACTTCTGCTGGTGAGAGAGACAAGCTTTCGATCTACACAGAATTCTTCTTCAGATCTGGGAAAGGTACTCAGAGTGTCACAACTAAATACAAGACAGAACAGATTGTTTAGCATAAGTAGTTAACACATCATCTTAGGACTCGTCTACACTTGAAATGCTACAGCAGCACAGCTGCAGTTGAGCCACTGTAGCATTTCAAGTGCAGACACTGCCTAGGCTGCCAGGAGAGGCTCTCCTATCAGCATAGCTAATACACCTGCCCGAGAGGCAGTAGCTAGGTCAACAGAAGAATTCTTCTGCCAGCTTAGTGCTATCTACACAGAGACTTAGATCAGCTTAAGTATGCTGCTCTGGGGTGTGGATTTTTCATATCCCTGAGCAACGCAGTTATGCTGACCGAATTTTCTCGTGAAGACCAGGCCTAAGAGAGACAAGGTGGGTGAGGTAATATATTTTATTGGAGCAACTTCTGTTGGAAAGCAAGACAAGCTCTTGAGCTTTCCCAGAGCTCTTGTTCAGGTCTGGAAAATATACTCAGAGGGTACAGGACTAAAAGACCTGTGGCCCAGGCCATCTGACTTGGGCTTGCAGGGCTCAGGCTGAGGGGCTAAAATTTGCTGTGTAGATATTTGGGCTCAGGCTGGAGTCCTGGCTCTGGATCACTCCCCACTTGAGAAGTCCCAGAGCTCGGCCTCTAGCCCGAATGTCTACACAGAAATTTTACAGCCCCACAGCCCGAGTCCCGCAAGCACAAGTCATGGTTGACCTATGCCAGCGATGAGTGTTTAATTGCCTTGTAGGCATACCCCAAGTATCTCATCTAAATACAAGGTGGAACAGATTCTCAAGCATAAGTAGTTGAAAAATATTTCAAGGGACCATTCAAGGTGAAGTGTCCTTTAACACTTCTCCAGTCCTGCCCCCAGTCCTCAAGGAACAGGAAAGAAAAGCTTGTCAGAGGAAGTTTAAGTGGGTTACGGATTGTTGTAATAAGCCATAAATCCAGCATCTCTATTCAGTGTATGATTTTTAGTATCTAGCAAAGTTATGAAATTAAGCTCCCAGACTCATCTTTTGAAAGTGTTGTTCAGGTTTTCTTTGAGGATGAGGACCTAGAGGTCAAATACAGAGTGACTACTTTGTGAAAAGTGTTCACCCACAGGTGATATGGTATTTTTGTCTTTTATCGTTTTTGTGAGAGTCCAACTGAGAGCACAGTGATTGTATTATTTTACCCACATAGTTTTTATTGGGGCATTTAGTACACTGGATGAGGTACACCACATGTTATGATAGGCATGCGTAGAACCGATGGACCTTGAAAGGTGTATTGTGGAAGGTGTTGATCATTGTAACAGTGGAGATATGTCTACAGGTTTTTCATCTTTTGTTCTAGCAAGGTCTGGTACTGCTTTGAGTTGGTGTGTCCTGGTCTGTGTGGAGTATGCTTCTGATGGAGAGGTTGGGGGTTGTTTGAAGGCCAGAAGAGGAGGTTCAGGAAAGATTTCTTTCACAATGTGGCCCCATCAAATATGAGTTGCAATTGTCTAATGATACTCCATATGGGTTCCAGTGTGGGGTGGTAGATGATATCTAGAGGTATACAGTTGGAGGGGGAACCCATGCAGGAAACATGGACTGAACAGAGATACTGGATTTATGGCTTATTACAACAAACTATAACCCCCTTAATACAACCCCCAAGTTCCTGCCTCCTTTCCTCCCTATGACTGGAGGGCTGTTAATAGGCCACTTCACCTTGGTTCCTTGAAATGTGTGTTAACTGTTTATGCTAAACAATCTGTTCCATCTTCTATTTAACTATGACACTGAGTACGTTTCCTAGACCTGAAGAAGAGTGTTGTGTAAGCTCAAATCCTTGTCTCTCTCTCCAACAGAAGTTGGTTCAATAAAAGATATTACCTCATCCACTTTGTCTCTCATATCCTGGGACAAACATGGCTACATCAACACTGCATACAACGTATTATAAGAGAGCATTCAACGTGAACTGGCCCGTTAGCTGCTCTGCCCTGGAGAACTTGAATCTCCTCTAAAGTTCAGTGCTTTGAATGAGTTGTAAGACTCTCAGCAAAACAGTCAATCATTCCAAAAAGGTCTTGACAAACCTTCTTATGTAAACAATTTTGAATTATGGAAGGGGTAATTTATTTTAGTTGGTCTTCCCAGATCTTGACAGCTCAGTGTGTTACTCAAAGAAATATCACACTCAAAGCTAACAAGATCTACCCCAATCAGACAATATTGTGATCACGGTAATCTGAAACCAACATCTTCCTGCTGCTTTTGGGGCATTTCTGTTTTTGACTGTGCCTGCCATACTCTCTAATGAGAAAAATTAAACAATAGATATTCTGAAATAAAACTAATCTGAACAGCAAAAGTAGAAAGGGAAAAATATTAAAGAAAACTGAAAAGTAAAATATTAAGAAGTACTTTACTGAATAAACTAGTTCTGGTGAAGGCTTGCATAAACTTAAACTTAAAAACTTAAAACTTAAAAAATAAAAAAGCACAGAAAATATAGAAATACAGGCAGGGAGAACAAGGATGACAGTGAATACTAGGCACAATTGTCCTTTCAGAAAATGTAAGTGAACTCCTCCAACTGCCATGGGGGGAAAAGGAGATGACGGATGAGACAAATTATGTACTTTATGTACTATCTCCCCTGAGGTACATAAGCAATACCTGCACTTTAGTCTTTTAGAAAATCCTGATTTTGGTTTTAAAGAACTCCTGACTCACACTACACACCCAAAGAACACAACGTCCAAAATGGATTATGCAACAGAACTTATTTTAGAGAACATATTTGTTTTCTTCCTCTATGTGACATCAAAATTAAGACAAAGATAAGATAACTCTATGGTTTTTGAATCAATATTTTAACGTAGATAAAAATTCCTAAGACTCAATGCCCCTAAGTACGAAACATAAATATTACTCCTTACATAGCTTACTGGTCCATATGTAAAACATATTCGTATATCATTAGGCTCAATAATACAGTTGTATGATTACTATTGACAGAAGTAGAATTTTCCATATTATGGATGTCATCTCTTTGGAATATAAAATGCTCAGAAATTGCATCTAAAGCCTTACTGGGAATCAAGCTAATGTGCCATGAGGGCACAGGGTCTCTTAACAGGCATTTTTACATACACTACCCCTTTCATAAGAAGGCTTTAATCA